GACTGGATTGCAAGAAAATGAACTTGTATCTTGAGGTATCTCCACTCTCCGGGGTTTAACTGTGGGCTTTAGGACATACTTTGATCCTTGAGTGGTCCAGAATATGCCTTTCCATGCTTGAAATCATTGCTGCGTTTCGTCAGTTCTGACAAGTTATTGCTTATTCTGTCACAGAGTTCCTCCATAACCCCATGCTGCTACCACCATGCCTCACCATAGGCTAGTATTAGCAAGTAATGAGCAGTGCCTGGTGTTTGAAAGGTATAAGGCTCAGAGTTTTGCCCAAAGACCAATATGTCTATCAAATCACACAGAAGGTCTATGTCACTACAAAGTTAATACTAGGAACATTCCTGGTAGTTAATTTCTTTCATTTCACAGTTATTGAGGACACCGGACTCCTGGGAACACTCAGATTTAAAAGTTGCTTTGTACCCCTCACTTTGATTTATGCCTCAAGTCTTACTGCAGATATCTACAGAAAGCTCCCAGCTGACTCCATGGCTTTGTTTATCCATTTTAAATTAAATCTTTAGTACAATAAAGTGAACAAAATATGAGAGGGTTTGAGTACTTTGTGAATCTGCTGTATACTATTCCCATGACTTTAAAGAAGAAACAGAAAATATACAAGAGAGATACAAAGCCATACTCAAGTATAAACAATGCTGTGTGATGCATATACCTAATAGGTGGTGGTTTCTCAAAGCCCAGCAGTAGGCATAGAAACATTCCTCTAGGGCACGTGGGAAGGGTGCCTCAGGGGCCAGAGAGTAGTCCACTGACAGTATGGGAACACCAAGGTCCTGGGACCAACTCTTTAGATAGGGCTGTTTCAAACAGAAGATAATGATACAAAGACATGACTTTATAAAAGGAAAAACAATGCTTTTTTTATGTTGGTAAATTTATGACACACAACAGCAGCCATAATAAAACACAAAGGCAGGGAGAGAGAAATAAAAAAAGAGAAGTGATTGAGGAAAAGCCTGCTGTGTGGAACATTTGAAAAGAAGGACAAAAAGTTATGAAAATTATGCTTTCTTCTGATGTCATCTGTCTGCTTTCTGGCTTACTGTCTAGACAAAGGGAGAATGAGCGCTGCCCTCACAGTCAAATCCATTTTCCTTCTTTTTGCACTGCAATAACAAATGTGCCCACATGTCCTATTTGGTGAAGTATGAAGAGAGAGGACAAAGAGAAGGAGGTGGTGTGGATATACAAAGAAAATCCATAGATACAGACTTGCTGTCAGAATACTGATCGTTGTTTTATATTGTTACAGTCAGGTTAAGCGTTTACTCTGCTTAGGCTGTGACCTTGAAATGTGAGAAAGGCACGATGAGTTCTGACAATATTACTTTTGCAAAGCTTTCGCCCTTTCCTCTTCTGTCTTTATCAAATTCCAACACCTATACGTTTGCTGTGATAGGTGTTGTTAAAAGCAACAGATCACCATTCACAATGGCAGGAAGAGCACAGTGTGTACATGTTTATGTGCTGTCTCATCCCTCATTGATTTACCGTAGTATGACAAAAAGAAAAGTAGCAGCTCCAGCAGTCAGCTGTGATGTCTTAAAACTCTACCTGTCACGATAAATCTCGGTGTGAGGACACAGATAAGTGTGTGCATGCAGTCCGAGCACTGAGCAGGAAAGGCAATGTGAGTTTGTGCAAATCAGTAAAGCTGCTCCCAAGGTGTATATGCGTTCTACTTAGTGAGAACAACAGCCATTACTGGCAGTCTACAACAAGTCAATATGAGAAGAGGTGTGTGCAAGAGTTTTAATGGGTGGGAACCAGGCTGTATACATTTAAATGACTCAGGAAACTCTTCTCACACACATAATTTTAGAGGGTCCCAAATCTATCCTCTAAGCTGGAATTAAGAGGAGCTGCTGTCCTACTGATTCTTAGACAGAAATAGCAGTTAATCTGCAAATACCTCAACATTTACTGAATGTGGGTTTGTGCCCAAGTTACTAAATACATAGACTCTAAGTACATTTATTCCTGTGATATCAGCATCATTATGCACTGAGACCACCACAGGCTTCTTCATCTGAGGTTGAACTGTTCATCTCACCCATATGATGGGAGATACAGGATCCAGAAGAGGTTAAATGAGCGACTGAAGGCAAAAATGCTCATCTCCACTCCATCATAAAATCTTTCATTTTTGTATTCCTCATTTCTGGGTCTTGGTAGAGGGATCCAAAAAGGCAAAAGGGGGGAAAGAAAGTAAAGTGATGTCCAAATACAACTAAACTGAGATGTAGAAAAAGGACACAAAGTGAACAAAAATGATTTTGTGATATCAAAAAGATTGAGAAGGAGGATGTAATAAGAAAAGAAAAAGAAACGAGCGCCTAGAAAAAAGAGAGAGAAGGATAGTCTGACAAGTCTTCCATTAGTGCCCTGGGTAATCTTTCTCTGCGGGGTTGTACAGTTCTCTGTTAATTCAACATGACAGCCCCACACATCCCTTCTTGATTGCTCCCTCTCATCCTTTGGTTGCTATGCAGCTGCAGATCAAGGATGCCAATGTCCTTTGCAATTTCACAGAGCCCTGTCTTAAAGCAGCTATAAGTAGCTTCATGCCACATAATGACCACACAAGCACAGGATAAAGTACAGGGGTACAAACTATATTTAAAAAAAAAAAACTTCCTATTTATAAATCAACAAACCACACTAATATGCAGTCTTCCTGTTAAAATGTATTTACTGCCACCAATTTAAACTTATGATCAAAAGGGTAAAAAAAAGACTTTAAGGGTTTTTTACATAGTAATAATATACAAGGCTAGTGTCTGTGTGCTTCTTTTTTCTAGCACAGTGATCCAGAAATTAAATCTAGGATACAAGTTCCTCCTTTATGAGAACAAAAAGGAGTGAGGATGAATTAGATGACAGAAAGCAATGACAGACAAGGGTCAACTCTGCAAGCACCTTACCAGTAAGTAAGCCACAGAGTAAGGTCAGAGAGTCTCTGTTAAGTTTTCAGGGGATAATTATAAAAATAATTAGTCTAAATTCTCAATCCATGTCACACTATTGACAGGGGAAGAGACTCAGACTGGTAACCCCTCTTCTCCTCTGCTGTCAACTAGTGTCTGTCTCATCAACACTTTAATTAGTTGGGTTTTCATTACAATTAGTCTGAGAAAACATGATTGAAGGGATGAGAGGATGAAATTAGCTGGATGACAGCTTTGGTGATAGAGGCTCAAAACCTGAACTTGGCATCTAATGCTAGAGGTGTATTGTTGTTAGTGCTTTGACAGGTAAGTGCCACATTTTCTTGGTCTGTGTTCTATTATAAAATCTTACAAACACATCAATACTGTCCTATACAAACCTCCATTAAATACAAGGAAAAGCAGTCCATTGAATCTAACCAGCTTTATCATGCAAGACAGAGGTAATCATAATGAATCTCTAGTCAAAATAAAACACTTCTGAAACTGAGCTAACTTCAGTAGAACAGTAGTTTCTCACCTCATGAGACTTTGAGGTCTGTGCCACAAAGCCTCCACCATGGAAATGGATCAGGAGACATGGAGAAGAGGGGAGGCGCTTGGTCTTCAGCCCCAGGGAAAGAGAGATAGCACCCCCCTCGGAGCGGGACAGAGACAGCAGTGTTTCACTGTCCTGAGAGAGTGAGATTATAAAAAACAAAAACAAAAACAAAAAAAAAAACAAAAAAAAAAAAACACATTATTAGGAGAACGAATAACTTAGAAGATGAACAGAAAGACAAATAATCAAGATCTCCTATTTGGGTCTAGTATTTACAGTGTCTGTGGTTCCAAACAGTGTCTTATTGCTGATAAATCTTCTAATGTTAGCAACAGGGTTCCTTTGAGAAGTGGATTAACCAGTTGTTCTGCAGCAGCTTGCTGACAACCTTGCCTGGCTGCAGGAACACATACTAATTCCCATTAATTAACAGAAACAAGGACGGAGGCTAAGAAAGTGTTTCGACTGATGCAGGCTTGTGTTTTGTGACATAAAAAGGACTGTTGTTTGTTGGATGATCAATGTGAGAAATTGTATGTCTGGTTAACTGCCAGGCTACAAGAGCAGCTCGGATAAAGGGGGAGTCTCCCAAGAGAAAAAGGGAGGCAAAGGGAAAAGAAAAAGAAAGAAAGAAATGACATTTTGTGTGTGTGTGTGTGTGTGTGTGAGAGAGAATTAAGCAGAATAAGATGATGATTTCAAGCTGCTGTTTAAACAAGAAACAAGGAAAATGCCACATATGCCAACAAATATTGTTGAATTGTTCACTGAAAGAATTTTTTTTTTAAATGTCTGATATATGCAAGGTCAGCAAAAACATATGGAGGAAAACTAACCTATTTCAGTACACTCTCCTAACCACCAGAATTGGCTACTTAAATATGCATCACACACACAGATAATACCAAGAAAGATGCAGGTGTCATCTGGTTGACACAAACAACCTGTGGACTGGCCTAGCACCCAGCACTGGCGTTCTACTTATCTTCTTGTCTAAGTGCTCAGGTTGTATTTGTTGTCACTGGTTGTCAAAGATTGACAAAGAATTGGTGCAGCTCCTACAGTGATGCAGACACTGCACTGAAGTGATCAAGAGAACTGAGTGCAAAGGCAAAGCTGGCTACATAGCCTACAGCTACAAGCTGTGGGTAATTACAGAAAGAATAAAATTGTGCCTACAAGTGGTGGGGAGCCTGAGCTTAGCCGTAGAGACACAGTGGGAAGCTTAAGGCATTCAAGAGGGGCTCAGAGAAGAGCAGATACTGCTTGGCATTAAAAGAAGCTAGATAAAGTGGTCTGGACATCAGTCTATGATGCTTCCCAGTTGCCTTCTGGGTCAGCTGCTGGATAGATTATGTTGGGCCTGTGAAGGTTTCAGTGGTGATTCCAAAGCAGTTGAAGCCAGTGGCTGGGGAGAAGGGGTCTGAGCATCTCTGCTATGGCTGCTCCCCATGATCTGGACAAGCAGCAGAAAATGGATGGATAAATGGCTGTCAGTGCTTTACTGCGTATGCCAGTTGTCTTGTAACCTGCAAGTCTTAGCTACCTTTTAGCCCAGAGTGAGCATAGACAGAGTTCATTTCCACAAACGGCTTTGTATAAATATCAATTAACAGCAGTTTCAGTAGTTCACTTCATCAAGGGGCACACTTTGCAAACCACGCTGCACCTCCAATCATTGTACAGGTAGATTACTGCCTCACGCCGTTGTATCTTTTGCTTTTTTAAATTCTGACTACTAGTTTTATTGTACTGTTCTTTGTTATTGTGACTATGTTGAACTATAGCAAAGAATCTGTCCGTCTTCTCCAGCTAATAACTAACCACTTCTCTGACATTTAACCTCTACCATGGAGACATATGTGGATTGTGGGCAACACAAGGACAATTTAAATTTGTAGCTGCACTTTTCTATATTCTTTTGCCTTGGTGGTGTCCTTGTGAGTTAGGAAGGTTCCCCTTATATGTTTTTCTTTAACAGACTTCACAAATGCTAGCCAGACCAAGGCTGTGTGCAGGCCCACCAAGGTTTAGATCAAACACCAGCGACTGATGCCTCCCTTGCTTCCAGATGAAGCCCTTAAGTCAGATGCTAACTGGCAGTGGCTGCAGTGTATCCTTAGCAGTTTCAGACCTGTTACAACCCTACTTAAAATCTTATTGAGAATAATCAGATCAGCGCCAGGGTCTTTCATCAGGTTGTTTATGTCATTCAGATCACAAGTTTGACTTTGTTGTTATGTCTCAACCTACTACGCAGGCATGAAAAGCACATTACCGTATTAACGTATTACAATCCCATCTCTGGCAGTCATCCAGAATGAGATTAGAACTCAACATAACAATGACATAGAGACAAGTGTACAGCAAGTGCCAGCATTAGTCTTTAAAAGCTCCATAAACTTTTGCAGAGAGTTCGAGATTATAAAGATTTTATTGAATTTTCAAGTATGCCACTATAGTATGGACTGAATAAAGATTCAAGTACCTGTCCTTCACGCAGATCATAAGAAATGAGTCTCATCTGAACAGGAGCAGTGCCGATGTGCGCTGATGGTGGAGCTATAGTTACTGATGCTCTGTGGTTGGCCGCCAAGGGAAGGTCAAAGGTCGCAGGAGGCACAGAAAGAGCTC